CCATTTTCATGTAAGCCGTCATATAGTCATTACTTGCTGCGTACTCCCCCTTTAGCTGATTGATCACCAGTTTTGAATCGCAGAATACAAGTAAACGCCAAGCACCCAGAAGATGTGCATTCCACAAATCAGTTAGGAAGGCTTCATATTCGGCTTTGTTATTTGAAGGTGCGAAGCCGAGCTTGACAGCCTGCTCAATTATTGCCCCGTCAGGAGCCATGATTACTACTCCGGCTCCACTGCCCCGCTGATTAGATGATCCATCACAGTATACCTGCCAAATGTCCCCAACATAAATTCTCCAGTTTGACTTCAGTCGAATTTCATCTGACTTAAAGTTGGCAAGACCCCCAGTGAATTCAACAACAAAGTCGGCAAGCACCTGTCCTTTAAGGTTATAGGTAGAAACTGAATATCGTACTGGCCGAGTTCAAGAGCCCACTTTGAAACACGTCCTGATGCTTCTGCACTATGTAGTACTGATCAGAGGGGATAATCTGTTAGCACCCCGATGTTATGCCCCTGGACGTAATGCATCAGTTTTCTTGCCACCATAACTAGGGCTAGGATGAGTTTTTCCAGCGGAAGGTAGCGTGTTTCGGTGTCAACCATTGCCTTGCTCACATAATACACTGGCCGCTGCTCCCCCAGCTCTTCCTTTATCAGTACGGCGCTGACGGCCCGGTCGGAAACTGCCAGATACAAAATGAGTGGGTCGCCAGCCGATGGTGTTGTCAAGAGTGGAACTGATCGGAGGTAGGTTTTAAGGCCGTTGAAAGCGGCTTCGCACTCGGTGGACCATTCAAAAGCCTTGCCTTGCCGTAGTTTATGGAAGAATTATAGACAGCGATCTGTAGACCGACTGATGAACCTGTTGAGTGCGGCGGCCATCCCCATCAACTTTTGAACCTCTTTTACTAAAGAAAGGGAGCCGAGTTCCAAGATTGCTGTGATTTGCCTCGGGTTGGCTTCGATTCCACGGTGGTTGACAATGTAACTCAAGAATTTGCCAGAGCCGATCCCAAACGTACATTTGGAAGCGTTCAACTTCATTTTGTATTTGCGTAAAATGTCGAATGTCTCTTCTAAATTGGCTAGATGAGTTTGCTCTTCTTTGGACTTGACCACCATGTCATCAATGTACACTTCCATAGTGTGGCCGAGTTGCTCCTTGAACATGGCAGTGACCATTCTTTGGTAAGTTGCCCCCGCATTCTTCAGCCCAAATGGCATAACCTTATAGCAGTAGGTTCTTCATGGGGTGAGGAATGTAATTTTGTCTTGGTCCTCCGGATGCATGGCAATTTGATGGTAGCCTCTGTAAGCATTGAGGAAGCTCATACGTTGATGGCGTGCCGTCGCATCTACAAGCTGGTCAATTCTGGGTAGGGAAAAACAATCCTTGGGGCAGGCTTTGTTTAGGTTCGTGAAATCAACACACACTCGCCAAGTCCCATTTTTCTTCTTCACAACCACACTATTAGAGAGCCATGTAGGGTAGGTCACTTCCCTGATTGCCCCGGCGTCAAGCAACCGGTCAACCTCTTCAACAACGGCGGCAGTGTGCTCTGCGGCTGACCGCCGGCTTTTCTGAATGATCGGCTTGCATTTAGGGTCAACATTCAAACGGCGCTACGAAACAGACCGATCTATACCCGGCATCTCATATGGAGTCCATGCAAAGACATCAAGATTGCTGAGCAGGAAGGAAATTAGCTGCTGTCTGTCGGCTTGATTCAGGGAGGCGCCGACCATGAAGAACCTGTCTGGGTTTCCTTCGATTTCAACTCGATCTAGGGCTTCCGTGGCCTTTTCACTTGGGAGCCGCCCAACATCGTCGAGGCTCTCCTGATCCGAAACCTCAATAGAATTCACTTGCAACTCCTTTGGCGTCTTTCCAGCAAGGAGATAACATGCTTGTGCCGACTTTTGTGAGCCACGGATTTGCTCAATGCTGCGTTCTGTCGGGAAGCGTAACAGTTGATGATGGGTCCTCGGCACGGCCTGCATAGTATGAAACCAAGTTCGTTCCATGATGAGATTATACGGCGATGGCAACTTGACGACCAAGAATTTCACATCCACTGTTCTGAAACCCACTCGAACGTGTAGTGTGATTTTCCCCAACTGGTATTCTGGATTGGCGTTGAAGCCTAATAGTAGATAAGGAGCCGAGGAGAGATCCGATTCGGAGAAACTGAGTTTGGTGAATGTCTTGTAATACATAACCTCCGATGTGCTCCCCAAAATAATGAATACGCACTTCACAGTGAATCGGTTTATGCGCAGCTCAATTACCAATGGATTGATGTGGGAAAGTATCACTCCAGCCAAATCCGAATCATCAAAAGTAATGCTCGCAGCTTCATGGGGTCGTTTTGCCGGAGTGAGTTGATTTTGAGGGTCGGGATTCGAATGAATCGTATGCACCGCGGATGACATCGACAGGCTGTATATCATGTAGATCGCACCGAGTTGAGCGGAATCCTGTCTTAAGGCTATTGCCTTGGTTGAGCTGCCTTTTCGGACGTACTGTTGTAGCCTACCATTATGTACCAATTCCTCCAGGTGATCTTTCAATGCATAACAACTCTCAGCATCATGGCCATGGTCCTTGTGATACTCGCACCATTGATCCCGTCTTCTCGTGTCAGGAGGTTCCACCATTTTGAACAGCCATTTGAAGAACGGAAGGTGTTGAACTTTGGACATGACCGTGCTGATCGGCTTTGTCAACTCCGTATATTTCTTGTCGGCGCGCCTTGTCCGCCTGCTGTCAACTTGCAGTTGTTCATTTTCTCGGTGAGAGCATTGGTCGTTTGATCGGCGAGAATCCCGTCTCTTGTCCCGTTTAGCCCGATGCCGTGGTTCAGGGCTCTGAGGTGGTACAGAATTTAACGGCTAAACAATTTCAGAAGGGGCCGTCTTGTTGGCCACATTTTCGGCTTTAACCCGCAAGGCATCATCCTCCACTTTGCAGTATTCCTCAACTTTCTTCATCAACGACCAGACTGTTTTGGGGGGTCTTCTAGTCAAGGAGCTGCGAAGAGCACTGTCAGGATGCAAATCCATTTTGAAGGCGGTGATGGCCATGGAATCATTGCAAGCGTCATCGACAAGATTAAAGCACTCCCAATAGCGCGCCGAATACGCTCTTAGTGTTTCTCCTGGCTGTATCTGCATTGCCCAGAGAGAGTCGGCCTGTTTCGGTTGGACCTCGTTGGTGATGAATCTGGCCCTGAAAGATTTATATAATTGATGGAAGCTTTTGATTTAAGCCGGCTCCAGTTTATAATACCACCTGACAGCCAATGGTCCCAAACTGTTGGGGAACATTCGGCACATGAGGGCCTCGTCGTCTGCATGCAATGTCATGGCTTGCTTGTAGTGACGGATGTGATCGGTGGGGTCTGATTTTCCATCACAAAGAGTGAACGATGGAGCTTTGAACTGTTTGGCCAGAACCGTCCTTGCGATCTGTCGCACAAAGGGATCATACTGGTCTTCTTCATCTAAACTATTTCTTCTTCGCTTATGCCTTATACGTGGACGTTCTTCAGAGGAGCTGGAAGTTTCGGCTCGTCCCCTCTTCTTGGGCTCCAGGATAATGAGTCGGAGTCGCTATCAGTGACTTCTTGTCGGGCTCGAAGTCGTCGACCACATGTATTAAGAGGTCGTTCCGGATCTTGGCGTACAGCTTGTTTGGATTTTGCCACTTCCAAGGCCAAATCCTGACGTAGACGTTTGTTCTCAGCGATCATGTTCTCCAACCTCTGTTCGTTTTGTTTTGCTTGTTTCATGATTGCTTGCATTGTCTCATGCTCTGAAGTCGAGGGTGAGGCGAAGTTCAAAGCGCATCTTGCGGCAATAGTCTCCGGTCCAAGCATGTTTGTTGGAGTGAGGTCGTCTCTCTGTGTGGTTTTGTCAGTGACTATTGGAGGGTCTTCCGTTGCGCCCACCATGGATGTTTTTGAGTATTCCCACAGACGGCGTCAATTGTGGTGATGTGGTTTGGAAATACTCTTCAGATCCTGGGGGACGCTCATGATCCTCAGCTAGTCACCTGAAAAGGAATAAACACTCCAGTCGAGGGTGCCGGAATTAGCACTCCGACGGGAAAGTCAGTCTCTACTCTCTAGATTATTTGTATTTGAAGTTAGGCATAATGGTTCTCACATACCTTTCTCTGACTAATGATCCTGTATTTATATTATTCTCTTTGGGCCTTAGGGCCTGGCCCATCCTCGATCCTTTACATGTGCTTCTACTCGGCCCTTGTTCTACTGGTTGGAATGCTGAATGCCGATTATTTTATTCGGCTCTTCAATTGACCAGGATCAATGCCGAATAAATGTTGTGTCCCGAATTGAACTCGTCCATTCATCCCTATTGATCCGATGAAATTCGGCTCCCACAAGGCTTGGTTTGGCATCTTCAATAAAAATTAAAAAGTCAAAAAGTCACTATCCTATTTAAGTCACATCATCCTATTTAAGTCACATCACTTTTCTACCACATCACTTTAAACCCAACCCATATTTTATAAAAAATCAAAAAGTACACTTTTTTATCAACGAATTCATAAGTGTGCTTGATACACACACATATATATATAACACACACACATATATATATATATATATATATATAGAGAGAGAGAGAGAGAGAGAGAGAGAGAGAGAGAGAGAGATTATTGAATCATTAACACATTTTACAGCTTACAAGAAAGGAAAACAAAATGAATTTTTACAATCTTGAAAAAGGTCCATTCATGAAGTATAAATGAGTTAGCAAGTAACCCTAATTCTTGCCCTATACAAAGAACCACATAATTGATTAAGAAATTAAATATATATATGAATCAAAAAATTAATTAATTAAGAAATTAAATATATATATGAATCAAAAAATTAATTAATTAATTAACAAATGAAGGCATTTCATGCCTATTTTGAGCTTAACGAAGTCTTCTCGCCCTAAGTACTGTCGTGGATCATTCTTCAACAATATTTAGCATACATCTGCTTCTGCCCTACTCGATCTCCTTCAACCTCTAGCATGTTCATCATCACCGCACGCGAAGCATTCCTTACGAGCTCAGACCAATCCCTACATAAATCAAACAACAATCGATTAGAGGTGTTTAACGGTTAAAGCAAAAATATGTGGTAAAGTACATTCTTGATCTCCAAAGTATGTATGTTGTATTGTTTTAGTTTTCGATATTTTAATTGTGTCAATTTAATTCACAACATATATACATTACAAAAAATTAAGGTTTTAGATATTGAAATTTAGAGAAAAAATTATTTTTTATGGACCAAATATTTTTATTGCGAAAAGTATTGTCATTATATTTTTAACAATGAAAATTGGACATTAATAATGAATTATTATCCTTTTGGCACCAAATTTTTTGTCTGAAAAAATAAATCATTTTCAGACTAAATTATTTTGTCTCTAAAAGTATTAGTTACATTTTCAATATTGTCGCTAAAAGCTTTATTTTTTAATTTTCGGAACGATCTTTTATCAACTATTCTTATGATGATAGAAATTAATCCTTAAATATTTTTTGTAACAAAATTTTTACTTTTAGAAATCAAAAACTTTAGCCTCTGAAACTCTTATATGTTTTTTTTTTTTATCAGCAAACAAAGACTTTATTGATAAAAAATGCACAAAACATGCAAAACAAACATCAACACCCAATATTGGTGAGGAACCAATAAAAGGACCGAAAAAAAGAACAGAAAAAAGGCATAACATTAATACACCAACATTAATAAACCTAACAACCAGCAGAATTATTCAATTAATTATGTTTAAATGGTTCCCTATTTTCGTCAAAATTGTCATTTAGAATTATCTTAATTTGGATAAAAAATACACAAAAACGGAATTGGGACATTTATGTTGTGTTTGGTTGGGAAATTTGAGGAGGGATTTGGAAAGGGAAATGGAAAAGTTATGTGAAATGTGAATAAAATATACCTATATTTCACCTAGTTTCACACAACTTTTCCCTTTCTCTTTTCAAATCCCTCTCCAAATTCCCTAACCAAACACAACATTAAACACAAATTAAATAAGATGGCTACTAAAATGACATAATTGAAATATTAGGTACTAAAATAAAACATAAAGCATATTTTAAAAACTAGTAATAAATAATTTGATCATATAGATAATACTAAACAGTCGTAGATGTAACAGTAAAAAAGAACAATATGATCGCTACAAAGAGAAGGTTGTGTGTGCTTACCCATTCGATGAATCAAATGTTAATCCAACGGTGTGCTTGGCCTCCTCAACCGCCTCCTTAAACCGAACCAGTTCCTCGGCAGGACAGCTTCCATTGTTGATAACCCGAAGCTCGGAAGGTTTTACATCAACAAAAATAGGTATAACCTTCTTCCCACACTCCATGATCATACTCAACTCATGCAAACAAAAATATGACTGACAATAATGTGGCGAAAACACCGCGATCCCAACCTTACAATCACGAATCGCCTCGTTGATCTTCTCAAACAACTTGTCCCCTGGCTTCATGCTCTTGCTGTCCAAAAATGGTCTCAGCTTCAGCCTAACCAACTCATCATATATCAACCCTGCAACATTTTTGTTCGTATCGATCCGCCTATGGTTGATGAAGACATCACAGCAGCTAGGTTTAACGGTTCGGATATGATTCTGATAACGGAGAATTTGTCGGCACACAGCCTTGGATGATGATGAACTTTGCACGGCTCGTTAGAGAAGGGGTGTTTGAAAATTGACTTTTTTTAATAATTTCTATACTTTTTATAAAAAGAGGTATAAACAATTTGTAATATTTTTTGGCTTTTCAATTAAAAACCAAGATTCCCAAACAATGGCTTAATAAAATAAATAAATAAATAAAATATCTTTAATATTTTGTACAATATTTGTAATTTGGTATGTGTATATATATGATGTTTATTGTAGTTGGAGAATATATATATATATATGATGTTTAGCCTACACTGTCACAGTCAAAAATTGTTACATCAAGGGTTAAATTACCATTTTGTCCCTTTACATCCAATTAAAAAAATATAATTTAAGGACAAATTTGTCATTTTAAATTCAAATATCATTTCAACACACTTTTCAATACAACAATTTAACTAAAAATTTATTTTATCTTTCTAAATACAAAAATTAAAATAACCTATTAAAATAATCAAAAAACTAAACAACCTACTAAAATAGTTACTTCCCAAACGTGGTCATAATCTGAGATGATTTGATTAATGACTGGAATGCAAATTGATTTTCTAGGAAAATGGAATTCAAGTGATCAGATTCAGATTGGACTTTGAGAAAATTATACACTTTGGTATTTGAATTGAAAAGACAAGACGAAAAGAGTTAAAAACTTTGATTATTTTTACTCTCTAGGCGTTGTATGTGTTTAATCCTTCAACCACGCATCTTTTATTTTTATTTTTTCTTATATCTGTTTCTTTTGAAATTTTCAAAAACAGTTTTTTTTTAATTTTTATTAGGTAGTATATTTTTAGCATTTTAATCAATTTTTTAGTATTTTAAAAATTCATTTTTAATCTAGATACACCTATAAAATTTATAAAAACGTCATTAAAAAATTCATTAAATAGAACAAAGTATGAAAATATACTAAATTTTTGAAATTTTTTTACATAAATTTCATACTTTTTAAGTATATTTAAATTAAATAAATCTAAAAATTAAAAAAATCACTAAAAAAAAATCAGATTGAAAACTCAAAAATTATTTTTAAAAACTCCAAACCAGGTAATTTCCCATACGTATATATCATTTAAAATAAAAATTACATACATATTGGACAGTTGGTGATATGTATTATAGAAATTCACGACTTGATTTGCAAGCGGTATGATAATACAACAAATAGGACTCATTCAATTGAGAGTAATACTAGAAATTCGAAAAATTTTACTATAATTTTTTTCAAATGTCTCATATGGATGTAGAACCCACACAATGTAGGTCTCATGTGGGTCTCACACCAATGTGAGGCATTTGGTAGGATTTTTGGGGTCTCTAGCATTTTTGTTCAATTGATAGGAGACTATTTCACGAGATAAGTGTTGTTCAAATTGTGGAATTAAATAAATAGATTCACGAATAAATTAAAAATATATATATACCAATAACACATACTGAGAATTACAACTAAATTACAACAGAAATACATAATACAATAAAATGGTAAATAAAGCAAACCGAAGCCTGCACGGTAGCAGTTTCCTTAAAACAGATTTTGCCGCCTCACGGGTCGAGTGCTTGAGGAATTCCGGCGTCGGTCTCCCAGGATATGACGGTCAAAAACCAACTACGGAAAAAGCACTTTCTGTCTAGCTTAGCGAACAAAACCATGGCAGCACTCTCTCACTGTAGGAACTTTCTAACAAACTGCCTTGTAAAAAGGAAGCAAAAATTTCTGTGTAGAGACTTGACAGGAGGGTCTTAATTTATACATGTATAGGGGAGAGAGGAAGAGCCTCCAGCCTTTATGGCTGGTCATTAAAGCCCCATTAACCAGCATCTATAGCCCTTTTTCAAAAAGTTGAAAAGTTTGGATGCCCAAAGAATTCATACCCTTTAGCCAAGAAAAAATATTTAAATACTCTTAAAAATCTCATTCATGAATCTAACATCCTGAGGCAATTTCTTGACAATTTCTTATTCAATTCTCAATGGTTTTTGGCCCATTTGGACGCAACACAATAGATGGTTGGGACCTATTTTAATATTTAATTAAAGTCACCAAAAAATCATTTTTTTTAACAATCCCCCACATGAATAAAAATTGACCGAATGACTCAACAAACGGATATCGTTCAACAATAAAGACTTGGAGAGAGTTCAACGGACTAACCCCAACATCAGAGAAGATAGCTTTTGGCTTTGAACCTCTCCCAGTGAAAACCTATCGAGTTTACAGGCTGATCAGTGAATATGACATCTTGAACTGCTCTACCGTTTATGTAAACTAAAACAATAGATCTCACACGGGAATTACTCTTACCACCATTCTGTTCTCACTGGTGTGCCCTGTATGGCCCTGAGCACTAGCCTGGTTCAGCGAGTGGTTTCAAAGAATCTTGGCCTGCCCAATTCTTCTAGAAGCGGCCCCACTTCACATTCACAAAAGTGACTCTACTTGAGTATCCTGCTATACTCAACTCAACAGCTTAATACACTAGAGTCATTAAAAGCTCAGCTTAACCTCTACACTTGCAGGTATCACTGATAGAAGGAATGGCGAGAGGTTTAACTTCCTCAGGGACATACCACCGTTACACGCAATTATGTTGTCCCATTGAATGTAGATCTTGGGATCTCCAGTCAACTAGGTTGGGTTTCCATTCCGGTAACTTACAAAGGCCTTAACCCCATTCCTTTTGATGACGTTTCGACTAACACTCGATTTAACCCTTTGGTTAGCGGATCCGCAAAGTTGTCCTTAGACTTTACAAAGTCTATAAAAACAACTCCATTTTAGAATAGTTGTCAAATGGAATTATGTCTACGACGGATATGTTTAGACTTTCCATTATACATATAGCACTGTGCCCTACTAATTGCAGATTGACTATTACAATGAATACAAATAGCTGGCACAGGTTTAGACCAACGTAGCAAATCTTCAATGAAATGGCAAAGCCATTCAGCTTTTCCCGCTGCTTTATCAAAAGCAATAAACTCATATTCCATCGTTGATCTAGATATACACGTTTGCTTGGAAGATTTCCAAGACACGGCTGCTCCACCAAGACTGAACCATATCCACTAGTGGACTTTGAGTCCTTCATACCTGATATCCAATCGCATCACTATAACCTTCTAGTACCACTGGATATCGAGTATAATGCAGCCCATAATCCCGAGTGTAGCGTAAATACTTTAACACCCACACAATGCCCTTCCAATGAGAAGCATCGGGATTACTTGTGTATCTACTAAGCCTGCTAATCGAGTAAGCTATATCCAACCTAGTACAACTCATCAGATACATTAAATTTCCAATTACCCGTGAATATTCTAACTGAGAGATACTCTCTTTATAATTCTTGGTAAAATGTAGACTTAAGTCTACAAGTGTCAAGTATCTTATCAACATAATGAGACTGAGAAAGTACAATTTCGCCAGATGTTCTGGTAATCTTAATTCCAAGAATAACATTTGCAATGCCCATATCCTTCATGTCAAACTTAGAATTTAATGACTTCTTGGTAGTTTTAATCATTTTATCATTACTACCTATAATGAGCATATCATCAACATATAAACACAAAATGACATAACCTCTGTCAGTGTCTTTGATATAAACACACTTGTCACATTTGTTGATTCTAAACCCACTTGACAACATTAAGTTGTCAAACTTCTCATGCCATTGTTTAGGCGCTTCAAACCATACAATGATTTGACAAGTTTACAGACTTTTTTGCTTTGCCCTGGAGCTGAAAACCCTTCAGGTTGCTCCATATAGATTTCTTCATTCAAATCCCCATTTAAGAAAGCTGTCTTGACATCCATCTGGTATATCTCCAAATTACGCAAAGCTGTTATCGCAATCACCATGCAAATGGATGTTATCCTAGTTACAGGTGAGTACGTATCAAAGTAATCCAGAGCTTCTCGATACTTGTACCCTTTGATAACGAGCCTAGCCTTATACTTGTCAATTGACCCATCGGCCTTAATCTTTAAAAAAAAAAAAAAAAAAAAAAAAAAAAAAAAAAAAAAAAAAAAAAAAAAAAAAAAACCACTTGTAGCCTAGGGCTTACTACCTGGAGATAAATCCACGAACTCCCAGGTGTGGTTCTATAAGATGGAGTCAAGCTCACTTTTGATTACTTCTTTCCATAAAGGACTCTCAGGAGAAGTCACAGCTTCGTGGAAAGTTTGAGGTTCATTCTCAACCATATAAGTCAAGAAGTCTAGATCAAAAGACTTGGACATCCTAGCCCTTTTACTCCTTCTAGGTTCATCTAAAACCTCAATTTGATCATCACCTTGATCATCAACATGATCATCATCACTAGAAAGCTCATCAAATTGCTCCAAAGATCTCGGAACCCCTTCATAGATTCGGCAAGGAAAAATGTCTTCTAAGAAACATGCATTCCTTGACTCGATGATGGTATTCCTGTGAATGTCTGAAGTTTCAGACTTATGTGCAAGAAACCGATATGCACTACTATTATGTGGATAACCAATGAATATACAATCCACGGATTTCGTGCCCATCTTAACCCGTTTGGGTGTAGGAATCGCCACTATTGCAAGACACCCCCACATTCGTAAGAATTTATAAGGAGGCTTAACGTCTTTCCATAACTCATACGAGATCTTGTCCACTTCGCTTCAACACAAGTTTCACACTTATGTTTTGTCAGAACGACCTTGTCGGACTCAAAAACCATGCGAAAACATGTTTACTGAGAAGGGACCTTGAGACAAGATTCTTACGAATGTCCGGAACATACAGGACTTCGTTCAAGGATAGCTCTTTTCCTGAGGTTAACTTCAGGACCACCTTTCCCTCAACAAATGAGGTAGTAGAGTTTCCCATAATCAACTTCTCACCATTTGTAACCAGTTCAAAATTTGTAAACAGCTCCTTCTCGAAGCAAATGTGGCATGTAGCCCTAGTAAAACTAAAACTCCTCGCTACCACAGTTGTAGCACTTCCCAAAGAACCGATAACCAGGTTCCCGCGGCTTGTATGCCAGCTTCTTTGCAACACCACCCCTTGGCCCCAGCATAGAGCCCTTGTTCACGGGGGGCTTCTTCCTCATCCTAGAAAATTTGCCATGCTCAATGACATTGGCCTTCACTGAGGAGGTACTCCCTCCTTTCTTTCTATTATCCTCCTCAATTCAAAGTCGGATAATCAAGTCTTCTTTGTAGAATTTATACAAAGTCTTTTGGCCTTTTCCAAAAATCCATACAATGTCTTAAACAATTCATTGTGTCACAATGATTATGAAACTCTCAAAATCATATCACAGTAAATACATTCCCAGAATGTCATCAACCGAATTAGGCACCTAAATATATTTGGTCCAACCTATCACTCTGAAGCCAATAGCCTTACTATTAGGAAACACAAATTCAGTGTTCAATAGTCTACTATTTGGAACTTCATAACATGGCTAGTAGTCTTATCACTAGGAATTACTAATTTTTCAGCATGTGGTCAGTAGACTTTCTACTACTAGGCATCACAATGTCTTAACCTGTGATTAGTAGTCACTTTACTACTAGGAATCACAACGTCCTGACATAGGATCAATTTACTAGGAATCATCACGTCTTGACA